CCTCCCCCCCTCTTCCACCCTTCCCCCACATCCTCGCACTAGCCCCCCCGACCGCCTGTCCAAACCTGATGCCCCACATAAGACAACCCCGAACCCCACCATCACTAGTAGCCCCCATTCCCCACTGCCCCCGCCGTCCTTCTCGTTGCTCTTGCGCGCCTTCAGGGCGCGCGGGACGGCGGTCATGGCGTCGTCGCGGCCGCGCTCCCACTCGGCCTCGATGATCTTGTCGATGCCGACGGAGATGGCGTCGCGGGCGCGGCCCCTGATCTCATCGACGACGCCGACGTCCACGACAGGTCGGCTGCCCGACCTGATCTGCTCAGGGACCCACGCGGCGAAGATCTCGTCGACGTCGTGCAGCACCTTGCACAAGCGCATCACGCGCTCGGTCGCCGTCAAGCAGCTCGTGCGCTTCACGACGAGGAGGTCGTACGCCTGCATGGCGGCGTCGGCCCTGCACGTGTGGCCGCTGCCGTCGCCCGACGAGAAGAAGGCCACGACCGACTTGTCAAGCCACGGCCCGTGCGTGAAGTACTTCCGCACCGTGCACATGCGGCTGGGCGCCCCGTCGATATTCCACAACATGATCCCCACCCAGTGCTGCAACATCTCCTTAGTCGGCGCCAGCGTGTGCCCTGTTGCCGTGAGGGCCGCGCCGCCGATGCGATCCTGCTCCCAGGAAGGGCCCGCGATGACGGCGTGGCCGATGTCGAACGGGTTGCAGATCCGAGCGAGCCCCTGGCTCTTGATCTCCTGTGGCGGGCCCTCGAAACATGGGGGCGGGCGTGCATCGACCCCCCCGCGGCGGCGCTTACCCATCGGCGGGCGCTAGGGGGGGGGCACCTCGCGCCGCCAATCGGCGCGACGGAGCTCGGCGGCGCTGACCCTCGAAGGGTCAGCGTGGCGCTCGGGGGCGCACAGCACCGCAGCATTAAATCGAAGGGGCGTGCCGACCCCCACCCCCCCCATCGGAATCCCCTCACCACCTGCGCTGCGCACCCGCGCACCCCCCCTCAATATGCCCCGCCGCGGCCCTCCGGGCAGCCAGTCATTACCCCGCATGGCCTGAGCCCCCTCTCGTTCCAGCCCGCCCGCCCCGACCGTTGCGACCCTGGTCCTCGACGCCCATCGCGACGGGGAAAGCGGCGGGCAGCTCGTTGAACATCATGGCAACCCGCGGCGTGGACAGGGCGGAGGGGCGGCTCGCAAAATAAAGGGAGCGAGCTCGAGGAAACGCGGCAACTGGCCCCAGTGATCACGCGAACCCCCCCCCTCCAAGAAGCGCAGATGGCACGAGCGCATCCCGCCGCGGCAAGAAAGCGCCTGACGCAGGCCCCCAAGCGAACCAACATATACGCGGGGGGAGGGGCGAGCAACCGACGCAATCAGGCACGCCCTCGCCACGTATATATATATATATATATATATATATATATATATACATATATGTATACATATATATGCAAATGCATGTTTGGACATCTCACCAACCCTCTGGGAGTCGGTGGTTTAGGGCTTTTCCGCTTCCAACTTCCTTCTTCCCCTCGGGGAGGGGTTCGCCCCTCCCCCTCACCCCCTCCCCTGGACCTGGGCGGGGGGGGGGGGGGGGGGGGGGGGGGGGGCGAGTCGTCAGAGGGTACTGTTTCGCCCAAGACGGCTCCAAGAGAGCCTCGGAGAGCCCAAGATGACCTCCAAGAATGCTCCAGATAACCCAAATGCCTCAAGATGGCTCCGAAGATGCTCCGAGACGCTCCAAGAACGCTCCAAGACGGCTCCAAGTGGCCAAAGAGCTCGCCGAGGAGGCCTCCAGGATGCCAAGATCCTTCAAACACCTTAAGGAACTGTGTGATTGTGGCCTTCTCGCCTCTTCGCTTCCGATGGCCTTCCGAGGCATCGAGATGGCTCCAAGATTGCCCGAGAGGGCCCCAAGAGGAGCCCAAGAGAGCCTCAAGGCGGCCTCAAGAGCGCCTAAGAGCGCTCCAAGAGCGCCCCAAGAAGGGTCCAAGAGGCGACGTTAGAGGCTCTAGAGGGGCAGCGCTAATTGAGGAACCCCGCTTCTTTGATCGATCTTCTCCAAGATGGCCTCCAGACACGCCCAGGAGGCCCCGAGAGGCCCCCAAGACGGCCCCAAGAGCCCCCCCAAGAGGCCCCCAAGCGGCCTCCAAGGTCCCCAAGAGGACCCCAGGAGGACCCAAGAGCCCCCCCGAGGCACGCAAGACGCCCAAGAGCCCCCCTGGACCGCCAAGATACCCCCAAGACGCCCCAAGAGGCCTGCAAGAGGCGTCCACGAGACATCCGAAAATCATTATTTCCCTCCACATTCTCTTCCTACTCCTCCTCCTCATCCGCCTTCTCCTCCTCCTCCTCCTCCTCCTCCTCCTCTTCCTCCTCTTCCTCGTCCTCCTCCTCCTCCTCCTTTTCTTTCTCCTCATCCTCCTTCTCCTCCTCCTCCTCCTCTTCCTCCTCCTCTTCCTCATCCTCTTCTTCCCCACCCTATTCATCATCCGTCTCCCGACTCCCTCATCCAACACCCACCCATCCATCAATCCATCCACGCAGCGTCCTCATTCGTCTCATCCATCCTTCGCTCGGTTCGGTTGTCCCCCCTCTGTGCTCCCACAGTTCCCTGGTCACCTCAACTTGCCTGCGCGTCGTTTCGGATGGGCTGGCGGGGGTGCGCGAAGCGCCAAGAGTTGTTTTTTTCCTCGGAGTGCCACTGCGAGCACACGAGCATTCACAACCGCGAGTCGCCTCCTCCCCCTGGAGGCCGTACATCAAGAAACCTACGCGTACGCGTGCCATCACTACAAGGATGAGCCCCACCCACTCTCCGCTCCCCCGTCTCCCCCCACCCACCTCACATGGACTGTGCGAGCCACCACGCGGGCCCAGTGTTGCCAGGGAGGGAGCCGACGCAGCAACAGGCCCTAGAAAATACCAGGCACTGGGCAGTGCGACTGCGGGAGGGAGTGGATCTCCAAATACCGCACCCAGCACTGGCGAACGCAATCTTTCATTGCAAGGAAGCTGTTCCCCCCAAACTGGGCCCACGTGGCGTACGCTCGAAACTTATATTCGGGCATGTGCGCCCTCCACTGGCCCTCCGTGCTGGAGCGCCAGATGTAGCAGCCAGGGGGGCAATGCCTCTTGGCCGCCCCCTGCGCAAGGTCGTCCTCGGGGACGGGAGCCGTCTTGGGGTAGGGGACCTTGAACAAGGGGTGCTTGTTGCTCTTCGAGGACGCCGCGGGCTTGCCGTGGACGGACGCCTGAGGGCGCAAGACGCTGAGACCACAACTGAGCCCTTGCGAGAGACCCCCCGAAACAACAATCTGGAACCTTCGAGCTGGGAATGCAGGACTCCGCGCGCTGCCCCCCTGGACGGACGACCCTCTAGTCTGGACGCAACGGGCCGAGGGCGGCTCATACAAGAAAAACACGAGGGGCCCGCGCGGGCCTCTGGAACCCCGAAGTCAAGCATCAGAAACGCTCTTGCCAAGGCCCGCGGCGTCATACCCCGCGGGGGGTGGAACAACAATGGATGACAGCGAGCGGCAACAGGGGGCAGGGGTGACTCTATTCAGCCCCTGGGCGGCACTGAAAAAGAGAGGGCAGCGGGATATCACATATTTAATGTGCCTGGTACTGCTGCACCTCGGCGACAAAGTCCGACCGATGGGCGTGGTGAGACTTGGACGCCTCCACCTGCTTCTGGACTTCCTCCGAGGTGCTCCTGTCGAAGAGCTCCGTCACCCAATCCATGTGCACCAAATCGTCCACGCCGATGTCGTGGTCGAACGAGACGAACCGCTGCCTAAGAACCTGCACGATGAGGCCATCCGCGCACTGGTCCTTGAAGATGTTCTCGCACATTGTCTTCAACACCGCCGCCAAGGTAGTAGTCGGGGGGTGCCAGTCGCACAGCTCGCACACCTGCAACAAGTACGACACTGGAAGGCTCCAGAACGCGCTGAGACATGCGATATCAAGTAATGGCCGGACCCTCCCAACCATCTTCGCAGCGAGGCCGAACTCCTCGTATGTGTGGGGCGCCTGGGCACTCATAATAAACAAGAAATGGGGCAGCCCAATGGAAATGACCAAAGGGCAGTGGACCAGACAATCACAAACGCCCTCACCACACCCGCCCTCCACCCCCGAGGCCCCACCAATGTAACCCAGACATCCACCCTTCCCCTACATGCCCAATGGGCCCCGCGCCGCGGGGCCAATTCGATGACCCACTGCCTTCAGGTCCACGTCAGTGCGAATATCACGGGCGACTCCACTCTTGACGATCTCGATCTCGATCGCCTGCGCCAAGGGGGATGTCCACTCGACGGCCACCGCCTCAAACTTCGAGGCGTCGAACAAACAATGCAACTCCCTGCCCCTGGCCGAGTCGATGGTGACGGAATCTGGGGTGACGCGCTTGGACGGCCACAAGACAGCCAAAGATGAATCAATGTCGCCAAACGGAATCCACCAGCCCTGTGAACCGACCCTCTTTACCAACATGCCAGGCTGCATCAGCCTCGAGAGGATCGCGTGGTTCAGCGCGCCGAGCTTCCCAGCCCGACTGGCTTGCCGACATACTTCAATGTCGGAGTAGGGGGTAGTGTACGCCGCCGCCCCAGGGGAGTGCCACCCCGCCTCGCCGTAGCCGCAGACATCGTACAGCTTCAGGTCCTTAAGGTCCTGGCTCAGACTCCTGCGGAGCAGCTGTGGTCTGAAGGCGTTGGGCTCGAAGGCCTGGTCCCTGGTCAAGCGGAGCTCTGAAGTCAATATGGGCTTGTAGTGGTGGGTCGTCTCGATCACCTGCGAGTCGATCGCGCACGCGAATGCCGTCTGCTCACTGCTCAACGTGTTCTGCTGCTTGTCGACTTTCCCCTTGATCTTCCGAAACGTGTCCTCGACCAGCTGGCTCGCGATGATCCTCTTGCACTTCTGCCTCGTGAGCTCGATCAGCCTGGGGGGGGGGGGGGCAAAGCGCGCGGGCGTCCACTGCGGACCCCCTTACGTCACTGGCGAAGGGCCCAACCACCAGGCCAGCGTCGGCACGACGACGACTGCGGCGGCAGCCGCAACGGCCACGACGACATGACTAAGGGGCGACGGCAAGCGCGGCGACGAAGAGGGCGGACAACGGAGGCGGGGGCGGCGGCACCGACGGCGACGACGGCGGCAAATGGTGACAACGACGCCGACGGCGACGACGGGCGACGGAAGCAGGAGCCGCGCCTCTGGCGACTGCGACGATTGACAACGACGACGGCGGCGACTGGCGACGGCGCGACCGACGGTTGACGGCTGTCGGCTGACGGTGGCGGCGGCAAACGATTGGAGGCAGGGGCGGCGACGGCGGCAAGATTGACGACGACGGCTGGGGCGGCAGCAGCGGCAACGACGGAAGAGACAACTGCGATCATGACGCAGGCGACGGCGGCGTCAATTGTAAAAGCGGCGGTCGCGACGGCGACGTCGGCGTCGGCGACGACGACGGCGCGCGAAAACAACCGCGGCCGCACGGCGACAGCAACCGCAACAACACCAACGGCGAGGAGGGATCGCTAGTTGGGAGGGGGCCCGCCAGGCGGGGAGGATACGGATAGCAGGGTCAAGGGGGAGGGGTATAATTAGACAGCACGGAGGGCTCGCGAGTACGGGGGAGGGTGAACTCGCAAGGGGGATGAGGGTGCCAAGTGGATATCGGAGGGGGCCGACGCGGGAACGAGGGAGCGCTGGCGAATGAGAGGACGGGCGCGGGGAATGCTCAAGAAATGACTTGGGGGAGGGCGGGCAGGGCCAGAGGGGGAAGACGGGAAGGTGCCAGGATACGCAGGCAGAGGGAGGAGCGGGTTCATATATCACGCCACTGCTGGCCCCGCGCGGCGATGCTGCTCGCGGCGAGCGAAAGCAAGCGTACCGCGCGCGCCAGCGTATGTTGCTGATCCAGCTGCGCCCTCGCTACCGAGAGGTTCCCGTCGCCGCCGACGCGGTCGCGCCTGTCGTCGCCAACGCCGTCGAGACGTCGCCGCCTCCGCCGCCGTCGTCGACGCCTACTGTGCCGCTCGAGCAGGGCCCGATGCAACGGCGGGCTACTCGGGCGCGGCAAGCAAGCGCGAGAAGGCGCGACCGCCCCCCTCCAGCCCGCCCCCCATTCCTGCCCCATCAGCTTACCGCCCGACCAACCCCCCCACGACTCCCAATCCTGCTTCCTGCCCATCCGACCGATCGGCGTTCCCCCCCGCTGTCTGTCCCCGACGGCTGCCTCCCGCCTCCGCCCACCGCCCCAGCGTTCGGCCCCCCGCCCGCCACCGCGCCCGCTGGGGCAACATGCAAAGGGGCCGCTCACTTCGCCATCGGGGGGAAGACAATGCGGCCGAAACGATCGGCCATCTTGCACCACCAAACGCGGATATAGGTGTCCATTTGCTGCGAGCAGAGCGGGATGTACTTGATGAGGCCGCCCGACGAGCTGGCCGTGACCTGAAAGGAGCGGGAGGCGGGCACGACAACGGATGAGAACGAGCAGGAACGCTGGAGGGCAAATTATTAAGGTCGGACGCCGCTGCCTTCGGAGGCCCGTAGCAGCCTTTGTACTTGAGGAAGGTATCCGAGATCTCCTTCTTGTCGGGGCCGTCGGAGCAGTCGGCGATGCTGGGCAGCGGCGGGGTCTGGCACGCGCATGGGGGGGGTAGGCGCATGGCGGCGACGACGGCAACGTGCGACGGCAACGGCGACGACGACGACGGCGGCGGCGGCGACGGCGACATCGACGACGAAGCCGCCGCCGACGACGACGACGACCAGATCACGGCAACGAGGCGACGACGACGAGGCCACGGTGACGGGGCAACGCCGCCGCCGAGGACGACGACGACGACGACGACGACGGCGACGAGGCCCCGAACACAAGACGACGGCAACGAGGTCACGACTACGAGGCCACGGCGACGAGGACGACACCTCGCGCGCATCCCAAGAACCGAACACGGCGCGGCTCAACGCGGCACGGCGCGGCATCGTACAATACACTGGTTCTTATTACACAAGAGAAACGCCCTACGTTGATACGCCGTTTCGGGTAACCCAACGGCGTGGAAACAGAAAGAGTGGGGGTGCAGCAAGCGAGGGCAGGGAGGCGCCTCGTCTTCCCACCCTGGCGGCGGGCCATCGGGCGTCCCAGGCGACTGCTTGGCCACCTCGCCCGAGAACACGCCCGACGCCTGCCAAAGAAGACGGGTGGTGGCGGGCGGTAGGATGGGGAGGGGTAAAGGGAGCCTCCGAGATCGCCGCGACAGCATCGCCCTCGGGGACGTCAACCATCTCCTGCCTCACGAACGGTATCGTCTCGATCTCCTCGGGGCCGGGAACCATCTCCTCCGCGTCCTCCCCCTGCGCGACGGGCGAGGTCTTCAGCTTCTTCTCGGGGCCCTCGTCGCCCCCGTCGTGGTCAACCTCTGGGGAGGTGGAGGGAAGGGGAGCGGCAAATGCAAAGCGGATGAGGGCCAGTTGCAAGGGCGAGGGCGGGGCCGATGGTGACAGGGCGGGGTGCGTTGCGGAAACCCACCAGTGAGGGCGCAGGTGTATAAAGCGTCTCCTCTGCCCCCCCCCCCCAACCCCCTTCCCCTTCGGGGAAAGGTTTAATCAGCCCCCTACACCCGCCCTGTGCACCTGGGCGGGGCGAACGGGGGGCGGGGGTGGGGGGGGGGGGGTCCGCGAGAAGCGGGGCGTCCCAGATTGCCCAAGACGGCTCCACGATGACCTCTGGGAGCCCAAGATGCCCCCCCAAGAAGGCTCAAGATAACGCAATATGCATCAATATGGCCACCAAGATGCTCCAATCGGCCCCAATACCGCCCCAAGACGGCCCCCAGGGCCCACCGTGACCCCCTTGGGTGCCCCGCAAAACCAGAACAACCTTGCAAAATGAAAGCAATGTATGTTCTGCACTGTCGCCAATGTCCGATGGCCTTCCGTTGCCTCAAGATGGCTCCAAGACGGCCCCATAGGGCCCCAAGAGGGGCACACGAGAGCCCCAGGACGGCCCCATGAACGCCCCATAGCGCTCCAAGAGCGCCCCAGGAGCGACCCAAGAGGTGATGTTCGATGCTCTCGGGGGGCGTGGGGGGTGTGGGGGCGTGGTAAGGGGGGGTGCGCGCTGCCCCACCCCCCGCCCTCTCCCCCTTTCCCCTTCTGAGATCGATGCCCCCCAGGGTGGCCCCGAGAAGCGGCGCCCTGGAGGCCCCGAGAAGCCACGCCATGGCCCCAACATTGCATCCCAAGAGCGCCCCAAGAGGTGATGGTGCATGGTCGCGGGGGGGGGGGGGGGGGGGGGGGGGGCAACGCTAAGAGGGGACCACCACCCCTTTTATTTGGCCGATGTCCTCCAGGATGGCCCCGAGAAGCGCACAGGAGGCCACGAGACGCCCCAAGGTGGCCCCAATATGGCCCCAAGACGCCCCAAAGACGCCCTAAGAGGCCTCCAATAAGCGCCCAGCAGATGCCTCAAGAGGCTCCGAGAGGCATCCACGACACCTCTGGTACGTTTGCGTGCCATCCTCCACGTGCTCATCATTCCTCATATGCACCTTTTCTTCCTCTTCCTCATCATATTGTTCGTCCTTCTCCCCAATCCCTCATCCGCCCATCCAGCCGCCTCATTCCCCTCCTCCATCATTCGCACTCTTCGGCGATCACCCTCGGTGATCCCGCACGTCCTTGATCACCTCAACTCGCCTGGGCACTGTTTCCTGATGGGCTGGCGGGGATGCGCGACGCGCCTAGAATTGATTATGGGAAGGCCTCCGTTGCCGACCCCGAAGGGGACGACGGCTGGGGGCAACTCTCCTTGGACCGCATCATCACGGCGCTCGGCATGCGGAGATTGCGCAGCTCCGCGTCGACAGTCTCGGGAATGCAATTGCTTGGGCGGGGCGGGGGCGGGCAAGCATGAGGCTGACAGGGAACGTGCTGCTGGAAGGGCGGGAAGGCTGGATGGGCGGAGCCAAGGGGGGGGGGGGATGGTGGACAGGGGCAGCCAATAGGGGTTGAGGGCCCACCGCCTCGTCCTCCGTGTCCGACGCCGTCGTGATGCACTGCTCCTTCAGCGCCTCCTCGTATGCCTGATGAGGGGACGTGGGCGGCGTGGGGGGGGGGAGGGTGGGGTGGCGGGGGCAAGGAGCCGCAGGGGGCGACGAACTGACGCGAAGGACAATGAACAGGTGGGGGAGCTAGGGGGGGATGTGGCCTGGGAGGTGGATTGATATGAAGGGGGTCGAAGGGCGCGGGCGTGCGAAGGGAGGGGGGGGGGGGGGGGGGCGCAGCGGGGCAGAATCTAAGTGGTTGGGGTTGGCGGTGGCGCAAGCGGCCTCGCGGCACATCTGGCGCCGCTCGAACTTCGACGGCTTAGCGTCGGACACGCCGCGCGGCCTCTTCTTGAACATCTCGTAGAGGTGGACATTCCACAAGCTCTGGGTCTGCACAGCGAGGGAGCGGGGGACGAGGAGATATATAATTAATAAGCGGGGCATGCTGGCGGGACGAAAAGAACGGGCCTCGCGCGAGCCCTCCGTGTATCCCATCAGGTGCCCCCTCTCGAAGCCCATGCAGCGGCCGACGAGGAAACCCTCGCAGCGCGCCCGCTTGATGAGCTGGTCCGTCTCGGGGTCTCGCGACTGGCGGGGGCGGCAGCGGGGATCCCCGCCCTTCCCCAGCCTGCCCACCCTCCCCCCCCCATCCCCGCCCTCGGCGTCGCCGCCATCATCAGACAAATCCGTGCGCTCAAGTCCCCCCCCGCCCGACTCCGCTGCTACCCTCTCTCGCGCCTTCCCCGCGGCGCCCCCGCCGTTACCACCCACGTGAAACCCAATCTCCCTGCCTACCCATCCACCCATCCGCCTCCATCTCCCAACCGCCTGCCCCCAACGCACGCCCCGCCCCGCCCCCGCCGCGGGCGGGAGAGGG